TGACACATTTTCGCGTGTGCAGGTGTGACCACGGCTGGCACAACATGCAGAGCAAGCTTGATATGCCAGGCATGCTTTTTGTTTCTTTTGTTGGGTGAAGGGGTCCGTGCCACGTTACAAATGGACCGCCGAGGAAGGCGCCGGGCGTCAGTCTGTCAAGGTGTCAAAGGATGCCAGGCTCAAGGCCGGGGTGTTGGCGTGCCGGTTTTGAACATCATTGCAATGTGTGAAAGCCTTGAGGGGGACAGACTTTACTCGTTACTTCTTGTTGTTCCGGTCCTTGTTCGGTTGCTTTGGGCAGTCGCAGGGAATGGTGTTGATGAGATGTTTCTGGCAACATCCGGCGACGAAATGCCTGGCTAGGGTGTGCAGAACATGTACTCCCGCAGACTGGGCATGACCACCAAGACCTTGGCCACCAAGGTCGCTCGGCAAACATGAATGTATGAGTTGGAGCTGCGGTGATACATGCCAAGCTGATTGCGAATCGTGCCATGTCACCTGCGTGACGGGAGCACGTAGCCATCCCACTGCTTGACAACTCGAAAGCCTTAAAAGGAAGTGTCCTCCAATGTCAACTTAGGATCCCATCTGATTGCCACATTCTGACACTCCCTTAGCTCCTACCGCTTGGGGCGGAACAGCGCAATCCACCCCCACAGCAGGAAACTCCTGCCACCATCTCTCAGAACAGTGTACACGTAGAATGATGTAGGTTTGAAACGCTCTCTGGCAGTCTTTGTCAGGCTCCCAGCTTGTTTCCACCTAGCTGAATGCTGGAAAATGCAGCAGAGTTTCCTGACGCTCATTTGACCCTGCTTGTTCAGCGTAAAATGCAGTGCCATGTTTTTCAGATGTAGGCAATGGAGGGTGGACGTCGGACAGGGAACTGCAGTTGGCTTTGGTCAATATCATGGATTGGCAGTAGTGGTGGTTTGCTTGGGGTTTCCTTATTTCCGGAACCACGGAAGCCACAGCTAAAACCCTTTGAAGTGCTCCGACGTTTCGTTGGCTGACAACACACTCTGTCTATTTGGGGTCTATGCTGGGATGTTCTGCTTTGGCCCGCAGCAGGGTTGCGCCAACACCATCAAACAATGTCATGTTGGCGCACGTTGCGACAACCAGGAACACTTATATAGCTACGTGTGCTGCATTTGGCTGCGAAGACCTTCTGAATGCTTGCGCCAAGGACATGCCAGCGTTTGCCATCAAGGAAGAAGCGCCCGTGCAATCCTGGCTGGGCAGCGTTTTGGCAGAACTTGCTGAATGAGCTGATCAGTCGGCAAGTCACATCAGTTCAGTCTTGGCATTCTGGGGCAACTGCACGCCGGCGGCTATTTTTGTTCCCAACAGGTAGCTCTGCTCAGGCAGCTTGGTATTTTACTGCCGATGCAGATGACTGTCTGACGGAAACCAAGGCGCTCACCCTGCGCGAATGGCAGCTCAGCTGCTTTGTTCACGGTGCATGCAGATTCATGTTTGTGTGCCAATGGGCGAGTTGAAGATGCTTGATTGCAGTGCTAGTGCGCTGGTACGTTGTGGCCAGTATTCCCTTTGTTGGTATCGAGCTGCATGTTGCTTTTTACTGTTGTTGACAGGTGCGTTCAGACTGGTTCGAGACCACTTTTTGCGCCTTGGCTTCGAGCGGGGTGTGAGTTTAGGGCAGGAACAGCATGAAATTCAAGTGGTGGAAGCGGGAGAATTCAACCTATCTCTTTTCCAAAAATGGACAGCCCAGCTTGAATTCTTCGTGTGGGCTGGGCAGCAGCCGAAGCATCGTTATTGAGCGCGTGCGCACATCTTTGTTTGTTTCTTTGTTTGTGGGCTGGTGTCGTGCTGGTGTATGTGTGTGTGTGTGTGGTGTGTGTTGCTGCGCATGCTCAGCGGGACAACATCAGGAGAGCCACTCGCGCCCGCACGTAATGACACGTGGCCGGGCAAATGGTATTGTCATGTAGTGTGGGAAGATCCTGAAATCCCCAGAGCACATAGACATTTGTGAATGGTGCATTCAACATTAGCATTGTTACACAAGCTTTATGAGCAACACAGTATGCAAAGCAAGCGCTTGGCAACTAGATATTGCATAGCCAAGGTGTGCTCATAGTTCTGAACATGATCGTGATGTCCTTTGAGGCCTCGCTGCGGGGATGCGAGGTGTTTGCCAGAGCTTTACTGGCTCTGGAGGCTCTACTCTAGTGAATCTGGTGCTGTGGTAGCTTGCGCTCTTACAAGTGTCTTAATGCGAGCACAAAGGGGCAGTGCGAATCATGTGACAAGGTCGCACTTCAATTTGTTGGCCTTTCTAGAGGCAGCTAAAAGTACACTGAAATCTTTCTAGCAGAAGCTATTGCTTGCGAATTCAGTGTGCCCTTTTCGTCTCAGCGATCCTTCACCGTTGCCCACGCGGGGGCTGCAGGTTCAGTTCCAGGGTCTCGACACGGGATACGAGCTAGCAGCTTGGCGACCAGAGGCATCAGCGTTACGCTGAGCCACATGTTTGAAAATGTTTGTTCATAAGCTTCCGCAGTTTTGCACTTTCAGTCGATCATGCGCAATGCGCATGAGATGTGAGGTCTATGATGTCTATTTGTTGGATGCGCTGTGCTAAGGCATTCCCGAATTATGACCATTCTGCCGAGTACCTTTGGCCAGGGGCCTGCGCCTCACACGTGTGCCTGGTGTGCCTGGTGTGCCTGGTGTGCCAGGTGTGCCAGGTGTGCCAAGTCTGCGCATAGCGTGACTGGCAAACTGTGAGAGACTGTGGGCTAGTTCAGAAGTTCAGCTCGTCACTGAAGGCCAGCGATGTTTTCCGCGTCTCAGAGTGGCTTGGCAGACTCGGGCCGGATATTGTTGCCGGCGATGTCAGGAAGCACAGCTTTTTGCAGGGTTTCATTGGGACGCATTCGGGCACGAGCAGCTTCTTGCCTGTTTCCGAGTTATCCGCGGACTGATGGAGGTTTGGGTTTCGCAGTCAGGCTTTGAGGCTTTCCCATTTCATGTCATGATGATTCTTGCTTGACCTGCTGCCAGGTGGTTGTTTGGCATCGTTTTCTTCATAGAGACCCTTGGCGCTGCAGATAGTCCCTACTTGAGAGGGATCTACCGATGGCTCGCAAGATTAGATTTGGCTCCGTCCCGAATCAGCCGCAAGCCGCCGGCAGATGTTTGCATCAAGCATGGGGCAGAGTGAGGACTATCCTTTTTGCGTTGAAATCAGATTTCTGCCGTGCCTTGAGGATTGTCATCCGGGTGTTGGGCTGGACTTGGCCGCCTGACAGCAGATTGCTTTGAGCATCCCGGCGACCGGCCCCAACAAATCGACGGGCGACGCAAGCGGAATCCAATGCAATGCCTGACTCGCGAAGGGACCAGAGAAACAGGATTGATAGGATTGATAGGGGTGCAAAGTACGGTGCAAAGGGCATGGTTCTTTGGCCGACCTTTGGGGGTTCCTCAAGGCTACGGCTCGGTCTGAAAGGATTATGGTTGAGCGGCCTCTATGATATCATGGCAACCTCAGGTGCATGAGATAAGGGATCTGATTTGACTTGACTGCTCACGCAGGTGGTTTCCGCTGGACTTTTGGAATTGGTTTGACACTGGCATGGTTGTCCTCTGGGTTCTTGGCGAGACCTGGTTCCAGGCCCCTTGGTTGCAAGCAGACATGATGGCACATTGTCAGGCAGCCAGGCAAGTGAAGGGAACAGGGTGTGCGGGCAAGGATGAAACGCTTCACATGTTCCAACACGACACTTCACTGCTTGCAATATCTGCAATGCTTTTTAGTCTTGAACTTGGGACATTGCATCGGAGGGTGTCAGGCGAGGCGCGGAAGGCCCAGCCCGCGTAGCACGCAGAGTGCACCTGGCTTGTTCGAATTCCACTAGGGCAGAGGGGCGAAGAATCTCACAGACGTCTCAACATGTGTTTCATGTGGAAAGAGGCAGTTTCTCGCCAGCTGGCGTCCGGCGCTGCGCCCTAAGTCCATGGACGAGCGCATCCTGCGGCTGGCTCGCACAGCGCGCCTCTTCCGCGGCCGGGCACAATTTCAGCCTTTGCGGTCCGGTGGGGAGGGGCTTCCAGGAGACCGAGAGCTCACATATTGTGTGGGATGGGAATGGATTGGCCACCCCCCTAAAATGGAGGCAAGGATGAATGCCACGACTGCCCGCCTGTGTTGAAATTGCGTTATCGGGACTCACCCACAACTTTGACCTTAGATATGCATTGCCTGGTACCGAGGTTTGGTGCGTGTTATTCGCAAGATCCACGGCTCCCTGGCAAGACACGGCGCTACACGACATATTGGCTGAACCTCATTCTGCCCAGAACGCATGGACTCATTGTTCACAGAAATTCACTCCGGCCACGTAGCCGTGAAGCATGCAAGTCAACGCACGGCATACGAGCCATAGTGCGAGGAGCGAGCGCGCAACGGTGCAGGATGACGTGTGTGAATCTTGGTCGAGCTCAGGTTTTGACTCCCTCTATTTGATGATGACGGCCATGCGGGGCAGTGTCGTTGCTTGCCATCAGAAGTGCTTGCATGTTTGATGGCCCGAATCGACTTGGCCAGCCCTGGCCCCCAAAAACTCCAGAGGTCTGAGTTTGTGTTTGTTTGCGCCCTCTGACGAATCCCAGAAGCTTAGAAGCTTTCCTGGCTTCGTTTCCTGAGGCGGTGCTGTTTTGGTCCTTCATCTTGCTGCTGGTAGCGCAGCTGGGCCAAAAGCCAGGCATTGAGAGGGGCTATGGCACAAGATGCGTGCTTGTAGGTGCCGGACATGTGCTTGCTAGGAAGCACCATGAAACATGGCTTACATCGGCCAGCTTGGCTTCTGGCCTCTTGAAGGCCTGCAGTTGCAGACCCTGCATGGTGGGGCTGCCGAAGTGAAAAGGCTTTCAGCTGGCTGCAGGCTTGAGGTCGTTCCTCCTGAGGACTTGTGAAGCAGCCTCTCCTTGACCTGTCCGACAGATGCAACCAGCCTAGGCAACTCATGATTGCTTTTTTGCTCAACCAGATTTTGAGCGCCACCTACCTCATGGACCAGCACCCTGGCTGCCTTGGTTCTTACAGGGACTTCGGGCCAGTGCATTGCCTTTGGACAACGACCGAGTCCTGCGTCCACGCATCTCCTCGCTTTCGCTTGCAGGAAAATCAGGCTGGAGGATCGGCAAGAAGTCTTTGCCTACTTCGGCACCTGTTCCAGGGCCATACTCTCCATGTTTGAGCTGCTTGGATATGCAAACCCAAAACTTCCATCTGTGCCTGGCATTCTTTCTAGGTGTCGTCGGCAAGCACGAAGACTTTCCCCTAAGGCTCACGTTGGGCAATTGGCCAGTGATCGCCCGGCCGCTTGGGCTGCACACTGGGAAGCCTGTGGAAAAGCTGAAGCAGCTTCCAATTGGCTGCACCAAGTGGCCTGAACGCAAGATTCTGAAGGCATTCTTCCACCGAGGGTGCTCCAGGACAAGGTGCACGAAGCCTACTTCATTTTCTCGATCGCTCATAAAGTTACCATCGGCTTTGCGGTCATTGGCGTGATCAACGGCGTGTTCATGCAGGCCGTGTTTGGCATTTGAGTGAACATGGACGTGTGCCAAAGCCGGCAAGTGGCCGAAAGGAGACGTTCAAGGTGGCTGGCTCAGATGACAAGATCATGATGCGCCAAAGGGCCCCTTGGACTGTTGATGAGGGTGTGAGGGACTGCTGCCGCTGAAAGCGAGTCGTACTAGCATCGATTTTTGCAGGCAACGCCCATGACACTGGCCAGCGTTGCATACAGAATCTGATGGGTCGAGTATGCCTCGTAGCAGATTCAATGTATGCTCAAAGTCAGAACGAGCCTCATTGACTCATGTTAAGTTGATTCTTGCAGACATGCCTGCCCTTTCGTGTCAGTCGTCTTTTGGAGCCCTTTCACGCCTGTTTCAAAAACAACAAGCACAGGAACATGCTTCTCCGATTCGCACATGATCATTTTGCGGCTTTTCCTTCGAATTCTGACTGAGGTGCTTGCTTTTGAGTTTCTTTTTCCAAATGGTCAGGTTCGATAGTTTTCCTCAAATTCTGTCTCGGGAGCTTGTTATTTTCAATTCCCTATTGAACATTCTCATTTTGAAGCGTTTTCCTCAAATTCTGGCTTTTCCCCTTCAATGTGCTGTTCAGACAAGTAATTTCTTATATAAATTCTGGTTCAGGAGCTTTTCCGTCTGAATTTCCTGTTCGAGCATCATGCTTTCCCCAAATTTTAGCAGGAGCTTGTCCCTTCAAGTGCACGTTAGTTGTTCGGCATCCTGGGTGCAAGACGGAAGGTACTGCTTTCAAGCGAAATGGGCAGGTTGCGTTCTAAGTGCTAGCCCGTTGGCCTCCACACTTGTGGTTGATGTGGGTTGGGGATTTGCAAGCTTCGCCGGCTTCGCGTCCTGGGGTTTCAGGCTCAGGCTATGCCGGGATGCTGTTGCCGTTGAGGCTGCCCCATGTGAACCAAGGAGCGGGAACGCAAGCTCCATACGAAGAAGATGAAGGTCTTGTAACTCGCTCAGTCCGCGTTGAAGCGCTGTTGTTTGCTAGCCGATCAGCCCTGCTTGGTCTTCGCCAAATGTCTGTTCCGCTGAGGTTTGAGCATGCTGACGAGTCTGGGGATGGAATCCTTGACATTGAGGCCAGCTTGGGTCTTTGCAGAGTGCAAAGGGGCACTAGCCGAGAGCTTCGAACGTTCCTTGCGAGTTTCAGAGCGGCTGATTTGACCCATGGGAAGGCCAGTGGATGCGGTCCGCTCGGCAAACGCTATATGCCTTGTGTGTCGGATTGTCTTACTTGCACCCGTGCCCGCTTGCTCGTACCTGACAGGAGTTTCGCCAAGTCATGGAGAACCCGTCCGTTCGGACATGGCTGGCAGCACAGGACCTTCACATGAGCTGCTTGGCTGCAGAGGGTACATCTTTCTAGTCGCTTTCGATCATTAGGACTTGCGTTTCTTGCTTTCGACTAATTCTGCAGCTTGCAACCCCTCGAACAGAAAGCTGCCAGTCAAAGCTGCCAGTCAAAGCTGCCAGTCAAAGCTGCCAGTCAAAGCTGCCAGTCAAAGCTGCCGATGGGGCAAGTGTCAAAATGACAAACGTGAAGCCGGTGCCAACGCCCAGATTCACCAGAAGCTTCAGACCAACTCTTCAGGCGCCGTGGCAAGCATAGCTTCGTCATTTTGTGCTCAGTGTTTTTGTTTAAGGTGGTTAAAACCCGCATGATGTGGTAGCTGCACAGGCTATTGGATGATGGCGACGCAGCTCTAACCGCTCAAGAGCTTGTTGAGGGGGTTGCGCGATTGAAAGGACCTCGCACAGCCTTCATGTAGATGCTGCTGATTTGAGCAGGGAGCATGTGGGCAGCATCAGCTCTGTTTGACCGATTGCTCCCAAGAAGCGTTGAGATAGCCTTGAACTGCCTGATGGTGCCAACCAGGGACATTGACGGCGGTACTGGCCATCGGCCTGGTTGTGCTTGTGAAGCCATGCAGGACCGGCAAAAAGTATGGACTTGGCGGTCTTCAGCCTAGAATTTAGGCGCGTGGGGCAGATGGGTGGCTTTCAAACTGAGACATTCCCTCGGTCAGGCCGCTGGGGCAGTTTGCTGTGAGTGCCGTTTTCCTCTGAAGAAGCATATTGGGGGAATGAAAGGGGCCATCGTCAAGCCTTCGAAGGGACTAAGACATGTGCGGACTGCGAAGGCGTCCCATGTTTCTGTCAGGTCGGCAAGCAGAGCGGATGATAAGAACAATGTGTGAATTGTGCCAACGACTTTGGCACACGCGTCCCGGGAATTTGCTGACCCTGAATTGCAACTTGCGCGTTCACGAGGAAATTCAAGGAGGACGTCACCAAAATGGCGGAGCTCGCTGAGAAGCTTGCCAGCCACGCGGTGACATCAAAGGAGGGTTGTTGGGGGCCTTTATTCAAGCCCACACTTTGGCTTTATGAAGCGAGCGGCTTCTTGAACGCCACCTCTCAAAGGGCTTTACTGGCTGAAAGGTTACGGACATGGGTCATGAAGCAAGGCTTTCAGATCGTTGCCTGGCCGCTGTTTATACTGCGCAAGTTAGGCGGATGAGGAAAACTCCTTGAGCAACGTGCCAGTTGGCTTTGCATCCTTGAATGCAGGGTTGCCTTCTGTGGCTACCTGCCTCTGAGAGCTGCATCTCGGATAGTGGCAGCGACCCTTTGAGGTGGAGACATGCCTTCGGCGTCTGGGCTGACTCTACCGCCGCTAACAGAACCGCGAAGCCAGAGAGGGTCCAAGCAAACTTCGGGCCGGCGTTCAGTCCTGTGAAGCCAAAGCGCTCCAGCCAACGGGAGATGTCGATCGAGGAGGAGGCCCCCGTTGTGCTGAAGGAGGGTTTTTCCCGCTTCGCCCAGCCGTTGGCTGGAGTTTCACATGGGGAATTGCCCCCTTGCGAGAGCATGTGAGCCACAATCAAAACCTGGTTGGATGAAGGCAGCAGGGGGAGTCTCAACCATAAATCGATGCGGCCACACTCGACTTTTTCGACAAATACAAATAAGGCTTTGCCTATGACTGCCCGCGGTCCACTCTTCCTGGCGCCGGCTCGCGTTAGGGTGGTGGTGGTGGTGGTGGTGGTGGTGGTGGTGGTGGTGGTGAAAAGAGAAGCTACTTCAATAAATCTTCTTCTCCAGGATTTCTACTGTTTACCTTTCATTCTACCGGAAATTGGCCAATGGATTTTGGATTCTACATGGAGGTTCCCATTCGGCCTGTGCTGCAAGATACGACCCACCCTACAAGGACTATACTTTAGACAGTTTTGTTTGCAGAATTTGGAAGCCACAGGTTTTGGCAAGTTTTGCGGTCCGTTTACGCCACGTCAACTGAGCCGCGCTATGGGAAAAAGTTCCTGTTGCTTCGCCTCCGCGAAGTTGCTGCGAGCATCCTGCCAGCTGACCAGTAATTCTATAGGTCCGTTCTGTCCCAAAGGGACCTCAAGGACCAGACACGCGTGCGAATCATGAGTCAGCCCGAAATCGGTGGATGTACAAGGCATTTGTTCTGGCGCGTCGAGAGAAGCTGTGAGTCATGAGTGCCCCATGTTGAGTGAAGCTGTTTGCCCTAATCATCAGCAGTGTGCTGCTCCCATTGGCGCTTGGACGCGGCAGCTAGGTTTATTCAGGAGGTGAAGCCTGGTGAATGCCTTGAAACCACCCTTCGAACGAATGAGTCCAGAGCCCTCGCTCGGGCGCGTGCTGGCGCATCTTCTGATGCCCGGACGCCAGTGAGGACGTGGCTCACAAAGCCAGGCAGCCGGGCGGCCTGTTAGCGTGTGGCGTCTGGCTTGTCACTGTGGTCTCTATTTCTGGCAGCCTTGCAGCTATCGGCATGCTAGGGCTCATGATTGTCAATGCAGGCCACGTGCCGGTTGGACGCTACTCGGGTGTCACAACATTTTTCACTCCTGCAGTACCAGTTTGTCTGGCAAAACTTGCGATCTGCCGGCGTTTGTTTGGCTCTTCACCAGATGGTTGGTTTGACTGGTGCAGCACATGGCCTCGACGTCTCAGCCGACTGCATGACTAATGTCAGCGGCCCCACGGAGGAAGCACGAAAGGCTTCCCAATCAAAGTGCTTGAGCTCATGCAGGTATGTTGAGCTGCCAAGTGGACAGGCACTATCTTCATGCCGGCACTTTTTTCGAAGGGAGTATCAGCTCACCACTGTGGCTTGCCCACAAATGTTTTGCCGTGCATTGTTCAGCGCTCCTTTTCGCTCTTCCGGCCTTGGAGATCTTAAACAGGGCATGTCCACAACCTTGGAAGATCTTTGGAGGTGCCGTCATGAAATGCACAGTTTCAAGGAATGCAAAAGGCCGCGTTCTTCCATTGAGCTGAGAAAGATGCCACGTCTTCTCTCCAAAAGGGGCCTGCAGAACATGCCTGAGTGTAGCTTCCCTTGTGATTCTGCCGTGCTACAAAAGGCTGGGCGCCGTGGCTTGAAAGTTGGTAAGTTGGATGGGCAGCCGACCCCCGACTCACCAGAACTTCGCGGAGCTTTTTTTAGGGACTTAAGGCCTAACATCACATAGAATTCCATGGTAACGTCCTCGGCATCAACACAGGGGGCCTGACAACGAAGTAGTTTAATGAAGTAATGGTAATTAAAGAAGCAATGTAACGCAATGTGGCTGTGGGTCAAAAATAGGTGCCCAAAATGGAACCCTGGCAAATGGAACCGAGGACTAAAACTTGCGGTCCCGTGGTGGTTTAATTTTGACCCATACCCATGTGTAAGAACGTACCGGCATAAAGCAACATAACGTGATGATGCAAGACAATAAAGCAACAACATCCACAGCTGCCTAAACACAGTCGGCCGCAAACCAGCCCGTTGCACCCTTCCCATGCGCCTCCCCTTTTGCGAGTTCCCATTTTGCAGCACGGGTATGTATGTCCATGCTTGTTGCCATGTTTGTCAGACGGCCCAGGGCATTTCTTGTGGAAGTTGATGTTGGACTGATCCACCTCAGGAACGGAAGGATGATCAGTCTTAAACCGCATTTAGCTTTGAACACTGAACTCTTACAACTGTCTCAATTCAGTGCAGAATGCTGCTGCAATCTATTCGTGCTTTGTTCCAGAGATTCGCGGGACATCGTGGCCTTTGCCCCAAATCGACGTTCTTTTGGACCTCAGGAATTCGCTTTCCCTTCGGGTTTGTTATGCCTTTGCTCGGTGGCCTTCGGTGAATGCGCACGAGTTTCAGGTGGCTGGCATGGAGCCACAGGCGCGCACCTGAGAGTGTGCCAGCAAAGACCTGCGACCTCTGAAAGGTGGCTGGGGCTTTTTGCCGTAGTGGCCGCTAGTTACTATAGTACGTAAGCCAGTAGGACCCAGAGACCGGCGGTTGCATGGCCTTCATCTCCCTGCCCAGTGGATGATGAAATCCGACGGCCCCGGTGCCAAGACGGTCTTCGCACGCTGCAACTTGGCTGCTCCCATTTGCTCGTGAATTCCTGGCTGATGGGGTTGTTTGCGTGGGACGGCTGAAGCTCAGTGTTGATTGGCCGTGCTTAGGCGCAGTGATTGTGCCCATCTACGTGGACAGGAACAAGAAGGTACGCACGCAACAAGTTCTTGAGCTGTGCCGTGCTTGAAGGCCGCAGGCTGCAAGGTACAATTGCTTGACATGCCGAGCAACGGTGCAATTTGTTGGCATTATCGGCTTGGTGCCGGCAAGCGACCTTTTGGAATGATGCCGTGTTCGGGGTGTTGGGAGCCTTCCTTGTCCTCATTTTGTGCAGGAAATCAAGGTCTTCAATGTCTGGTGCCCGGAGAAGAAGAAGCGCCACTGGGCCTTTCTCGAGGGCGATATCCTCCGAGGAGCATGCGGGCGTTTCTTGGGGCCCTGATATGTGAGCCTTTCCCCGTAAATCCTCAAAAGTCCTTCAGCAGGCAATATTGGGCTTTGTGGGGGCTTGCCTGAGTGGCACCCCCATGTTCACCCCTGTCCTACGCCTCGCCCTGCTGTGACACTCCCACACGCTGCACACCTCTCTTCTTATTTTCCTTTAGCTCCATGCCCCCTGTTCCTCGCATGTCAGGAGCAGATCGCCAGGCTCTCAGCCCTGTGGGGGGAGGGTCGGACAAGGTTGGAGGCTTTCCCGAGCGAGCTGAAGGCATTGCTTGGCTCTCGGCCATAGCCTAGGTCACATTTATGACACCTGCCGGCGGGTCTTCAACTCCCAGGCGCAACCAGCATGTGGTTGCGTTGCTTGCCCGTTGCCCGTTGCCCCGCGCAGGTGGGACATCTGTTTGGAAAGCCTTGGCAGGGAAGCCCAGGGGTCCTGGGCGCAGATTGGCAATTGCAGGGAACTCGATTGCAAGCGCCTCGTGCGGAGCACACCGAAAGTTAGGCCCTGGGAGGGGTGGCAAGCCGCTTTGTTCTGTCGTTTGGATGTGAACTAAGGTGGGTGTCGGTGTTTCACATGTGGTCTTGGCGGAGTTTCGCGGCACGTGTCCCCATTTGGTCACCGCGACTTCGGAATTCTCGAAAGTGTTGCCGCAGAGGAAGTCAATTTCATTCAAAGTGCAAGGCCGCGGGGACCATTGTACTCGACTTGCGACTGATGTGCCATTAGCCGCGCTTCAGATTTTGCAGCTGTCACAGGTCCGGGTGCTTCCTGGCTGAGCTGCCGGAGCAGCCGGGTGGGGAGGTGAAGGACGGGGCAGACTCCAACCTAAGGCAGTACTCTGCATCCTCAGCACGACTTGGCCTTTACAGGAGCCAACTATCTGCACTTACATAAAGCTGGAGCAGGACATCAATCCTTGCAGTGGCGAGTCAGGTTTTCTTTGGGCAGACTGTGGACGGAATGCAAGGAATGCAAACATGGTTTGCTTGATTTCAAACTCGGCAAATCCGAGAAACACAACATGCCCTTTATCTGCCCTTGAGCTGTGGCGCTTGCCGGGCAAGCCTCCTTCGCGCAGTTCTCAAACACGTGTTTTAAGTCGATGCTTTTGGCACGTTTTGGGCTTTCAGGATTGGAGGTGGCCTGCTTTTGGCACTTTTGGCAGGTGAGCTGTCATGGGAACGCAGGGGCGATGAGTTGGGTTCCTTGTGAATTCAACGTGCGCAGGATGGCCATCGCTACCCCTGCAGACCTCACTTCTTTCTTCAGGCCTGTCAAGAAGATGTTGCAAGTTGCTTTGGTCGTGGTTGCTGTTTCTGCCCAACTATATCTCTCGGGCCAAGAAGGCGAAGACTTGCAAGTTGCTTTGAGACTGACCCTGGCACGTGCAGGTCACTGAAGATTTCCTTGAGACCACCAGATGTTACGAGGACTGTCCACGCAGTTGCCAGAGCTCCCCCACACCCAAAAAGATGGTTGGTGCTTGACTGACGTCCAGACAATCTGTAGTTGTTCGTACCGAGCAACATCAGCAGTTTGCATCAGTGAGGATGCCAACGGAGTCATCAAGCTGCCGCAACCGCAGGTGCAGCAGTTGCAAATGGGCACAGTGATGCGCACAGCAACTCGCAACAAGAAACTTGCAGACGCGCCGCTGCCAGGGTGATTTCGTCAAATGGGACGACCTCGCCGCCAGCCAGCAAATGCCACCAATGGGGTTTGCTTCATTTGCTTCTGAAAGTCAGTGGCGATGGTGACCCATCTGGGAATTTGCAAGTTTGTTTTGTTGTGACAACCCTGAGGCATCTGCAAGGCGAGTGCACTTGGATGGCACGTTCTTCATGGAACATGATGAGGCCGTGGACTGGACATTTCCGACGCAACAATTGATGAGTCCATGGCTTGCCACGATGATATTGGAACCCAAACCATTTCAGCACAGGCTCGGTGGGTCGTTCTTGAGTACGAGACTGGCAAGCTGTTGGTTGCGGCCTTGGAATGCACAAGGTGCTGGCTGCTTGCCGGAGAGGGGGGGGGGCAGGGCGTGACAACAAATGCAGGCCATGGCATCCCTGACTGTCTCAGACAGGGTCATGTTGTAGAAAAATTGTGCAGTGGCAAATACATGCTCCTAGCACGCTTTGCACATCCCGATGCCCATTTTGGCTGCCAGTGGCTCGGGCTCGTAGTAAGAGGTGAGTAATAAGTAAACGCCTCTTTGCTACCGAATCATGGTCAGGCACTCAGCTCTGGCACACTGCGACTATTTGAGACGCATGCACTTCTAGACAACGGTTTGGATGCGTTTTTTTGTGGATTTCACCAGTTCTTCCACCTATTGTTTTTTGTACTAATCTTATGGTACTCTTTTAACACCCACAGGGGTGGATCCACAAAAGCCACATCCAAACCGTGTTCTAGAGTTGTACGTTATACACTGAATGAACTCTATTTTTCATCCCCAGGCCAAGCCCGTGTCCATCGCAGCTGCCGCTGCCGCTGGTGCTTACCTTTGCAGTGAGGCCTTTGTGCCAACTACGCAGCACGTGCAGCGCACCCAGGCACACCCGGATCGTTAGCGGCAGATTGTTCTTTCAAGAACGGAACCAACCGCGTATTTGTGAATTTGTGCGTGCCACCTCGGTAGCACAAAAACAATCTTTGGGAGGATACATTGCATGCCCGAATTTCGCTCCGCGGTCATATCGAACAAACAATATGCATTTGCTTAAACAACTCGTGGCACAACAAAGCGACACCTACAGCCGGTGGATCTTCAAATTTGTTCGGGCAACGATTTCCATTCCGGCAACAGTTGGGAAACATGTATGTTCAAAGACGCTGCAACTTCACAAACTTAGTGTGCGTAGACGGTTCAAAAAAAACACGATTGCGGTTGGTCGGAAGGTTGATGCTTTTGTTCTTGCATCGATTGCAATTGCATCAACATCAGCAACATTGTAATAGCTATACGGCTATGTGTATAGCAACAATGCCGCAAGACATGAGATTCATCAACAGCAGCAGCAACAACAACAACAATCCGCATCATCAAGCAAAAAAGATTCAACAGTCCTTGCCGTATTACTCATATCATGCCAGGTGATGTATTTCGAGTCGTCAAACGGATGATGGCATGCAAACAAACGAGAACGTTTTAAAACTAAAATGCTAAGCATGTTTCAGCTAAACACATGCGCAACAATTTCGTCTCCAAATTGTTTGCCTTCAAAGGCGAAACTCAAACGAATATAATTTGATATACCCATCAGCTTGCTAGCAAAACCATGGGTGCCCCGAGCGGATAGAAAATCAAATTGCTCAGAAGGTTTGGAATGCACTGCAAGTGACAATTATTCAGGCACATCAAACGCCTCAGACGTTGCCCGACGAAGGCCAGGAACTTTCTGGACCAACACCGTGCAGTCTTGGGTATATATCCAGCACTTGAATCCATCAGAATTCCATCATTGCGCAATCAAGGACCTATCAAAGGAGTTTTCTTCGTGAAATTTGGTCTGAACCGGATTGTGCTCATTCTGGGTTGCAGTGAAACAAACAACAAACCATGTTACGGGTACCTTACAGTCCTTCATGAGTGATCTTTCAGGTAAAGAGACTCGTTTGGCGTTCAGCGCGGACCCTCATGCAGCCAGGTCCCCTCCCACCTCCGGGGCACCACAAGCAGCAGCAGCACGGGCATCAGCGGCATTAGCGTGGCAGCAGTGTCCGCAATTTGCGTGGCCGCGGGTGCCGTGCGGGGCCGCAAGACTACTGCTGCTTGGCATGAAGGCGCAGTTTCACGATTCGTGCCCAGACAGCGCGTGTTTTCTCTATGCTGACTTGGCGGTTTACGGCGAGCTGCGCTGAGGCATGCAAGTCCTTTGAAAATGAACTGGGGGCCACATTGCCCTTCAAGTACTTCGACCCCCTGGGCATGGCCAAGGACTTCCACAATTCTGAGGTTTGCCGGAATTTTCAGAGCTTGGTGGCAGGGAAAGGCCATTGAACATTTGAAGATTTTGCCCTGGAACTTTGTGCGCGGTAGGTTCATCACTGTAATATGTGTCAAACATATATAGTCCGGCTTGAGCTAATGAAACTCCACGTTTCCGGAATTCTTGTTGTCTGAAATGTCCAGCTGTTCAATGTGGCATTTTGTTGAAGTCAACTGATGCCCTTAAGTGGACTTTGCGCAACCCAATTGAAAATCGGACCTGCGGTATGACAGGTGCTTTTGCGTTTGGTGAATCTAGAACCCAAAAAATATAACAACAAATAACTCGCCTGTTTTGGGACTGTCGATAGAACGCGCCATGATGTCAGCAAACGGCAGGATGGAGACGAGGCTACCTTCCGTCGCCGTCGCATCTCAGAGATCAAGAATGGCGACTTGGTTTGACTCAGGGGTTTCTGCTTTTTCAAGATGAACTCATTCTTGTAAGATGTGGGAGTTAGGACACTTTTCGCTGCACTGCACTGAAGAACAGGTCATGTGGAATGCTCCAATTGGTTCCCCATATCAGTGCACAACGCAGTGGCAATTCACGTATGCATGCCTGCCATGCACCCAACGCCTCCTCCCCTGGGCAGCAATTAAACACCACAAGATGTGTCAAGGATGGCAGATTACAGTAGAAAACATGCTAAGGCTGCTGCGCATGTTTCTACTGAATCATGTTATAACGACATGGTTTCTTGAATGTATGAAATGGCAAACGCGCGATTGTATCTATCTATTGAAGTCAAGTTCTGTCAAACAAAGTGCGATTTCAGGAAGAAATGGATGCTTCCGGAAAACAATCCGAAACATGTGTCAGCCATTCTTCTTGGCTCGCAGCTATTGGGCTTTCGTTCAGCAGATAAAGCTACGCTTTGTTCTATTTTGTGGTTGGTGGGAAGAAGAAGGTCCTTTTGGCTACGTCATATGAATGGGCTGGCGACATATTTGCACAGAGATGCATGGCGACTGCATTTTTTTGACGCGACGTGGCGGTTTTGGGTTTACAAAGATGCATGCGCCATGCTTTGCAAGGCCGGGTTGCTATGATCGCATGCATGGGGTACATTGCGCCGGAGTATTTCAGATGGCCTGGCTACTGCTCGCCTTCCACAGGCGTGCTAAACCGAGGGCTGCATGCCCGAACCCTGTCGTGTTTGACAGGGCAGTCCAGGGTCTCTGGTATTGCGCACATAACGGACACACGCAGTCATCATCCAGATGCCTTCATTAAATCTTTATGCCACTTGGAGAGCAAAACATTGTGACTGCATGTCTTATGTTAAGTGTTGATCTCGAGGATATCCTGGGTCTCCCTCAAACCAGCATTTGCTGCCTGCTGTGGGTGTATAAGATTAATCCACTGCCTCTTGTTTTAAGAAAGAACCAACGTTGCAATTTCTGGACCGGAGTCTCGAGAACGTCCGAGTGCCTTGAAGTCCGTTTGGCAGACTTGAAGTTCGCGGACATCCCGAACGGCATCCAGGCCTTGTACAAGATGCCAGCGGAGGCTGGCAGATCAGGGGTTGAGAAGCCATGCACCAAATTTGGTGGCACCCAGGGAATCCGTGTTCATTTTAGTTCTGCAATAGATTTGCCGATTGAAATCACAAACTCAGAGCCAAATGATTCCTTCTTGTTTTTTCCACTTCTGGGCACCCACAAGAGTACGTCATGTTTCACGGTTTCTTTTGAAACACAATCTGATCCAGCGTCTTGATTAGTACGTGTTTAGGCAATCAAGCAGGCGATTTGCGACATGCAGTTTTTCCCTTAAATCTGCGCGCAAAGGTCGCTTTTAACTTTTCCAGCCCTGATGGGTGGGATTGATCGAGACTGTGGAGAGATCGGAGAGAGTAATGCCCGGAGGCTTGGGCCCAGATCGGCGTGTTCATCGCCTTCTTGGAACTCTTCCCCATGAGGCCGGGTGTCACCTCGGAGTTGCTCAATAATAAACTGGCTACTTGTTGTTTGTTTGTTTCTTCCCCAAATTCTTTGGTAGCGGTATTCAGTGTTCCACCCTGCATGCTTGTTGATCGGCGATATCGGAGCGAGCCCCGCGAGGCAGGAGAAGGACGCCCTGCCGGGGGATGCGCCCAACTTCGGGCGGTTGGGCGTGCCCTTTTTCTCTAGCAAGGCAGTGCCTTGGCGGGGCTTCGGATTCATTAAATGATTAAATGTGTTTCCCATAAATATGTTTGTATAATTTTGACCGGATTGAGTGGCGTGCTTGTGTTCTTGGAAACAAATGTGGGTGTATGTGTGAGGTGCAGTGCAGCACCAGTTTTGGAAAACAATGCATGAGGCCAAAGGATGCTAAGTATTTCAGAACGATGTTGAGTTCTAGGGTATCGTGCGTGGCCTGTTTCGAAGCACACGATTGCAGCTCATGCCACCGAGTGCGTTTGTCCCATTGCGATATGCTCTAAGGTCCACCTGATTCTACAAACAAGAGTGATTCCAAGGCACGGACGCTTTTCCCTCCGTTGCTTGTGATAGAACCACAAGTGATTGGCATATGCCGCGAATCGTTTGAACATGATGGCCCGCCTTCATGGTCCTCATGAGCTGTCCTCCTGCTTGGACGCATTTGCTTTGCAAAGCAAACACTTTGTCACTTGGCTGATATCTTGAGTTTGGGTTGGCTAAATGGAAGGAAACTCGCAGACTTTCCTGGCGTCTAAGGACCCAGAGAAGAACCGCCGCGGCCTCGAGGCAGAGATCAACAACGGACGGCTGGTCCCTCTGAAGCAAGCGGCAACGGCAGGGGATGTGGCAAGACAGGTCACAGATTAGTCTGCGCGCGTTTGCAGTTGTTTTTCTTCTTTTGCTCCGGGTTGCTCTTTTGCTCGAGATTTGTATGTGTTTTGTTTTGGCTTCGATGACGCGCCACACATAAACATGCTTGCTGTTGTGGAGTTGTCAGAAGCATAGCTTGACCTGGATGTTTCGGTGTGCTCGGCATTGTTTGATGCGTCAAACCTGCTGACACCCAGATTCCTTAAACGATTACTCGCTGTGGCGTTCAATTTTTGTTCTTCTGGGTCTGGGGCCTGGGTGATCGTATGAGCAAGTTCCCCCCTGTTGCACTGACTCGGCAGCACCAGATGGCTGCGGCCCAATCGGGCACGGATGAGGGCGCTCAATGGGGGTCTCCGATCGGCTGGCTTTGCTGGTTCCAGTGTTGTTGCAGCAAGGTTGGACCCCCCAGGTGCTGGATTGGTTGTGGAAGTCTTTTCAGACGCACTACCTGCTCACCCCATGCCCTAGCAGGAAAATACTGATCAAGTTTGGTTAACAAACGGGTCAAGCTGAGGGAGCGCAGCATCTGATGCGTGGGTGTTCTGCCATAGCACGAGTCTTTGTTTTACAGCACTATAAGCACCATGCCGATGCCAACAATGTGTGAGACTGTTTTTGTCTTCTCCGAAGCCGTGTAGCGGGCGAGGCAGTTTTGTTTGGCTGGCTGGGTGGTCAGCCTGCATTTGATTAGGTAAGTAGTTGGTTTTCCATTACTTTGTCTGTGTATTGTTGATTATTGGCTGCAGTCTTCACCTGAGGCCATGGTGGCGATCACTGGCATGATTTCGCAGAACGCCTTCTTCGGCACCACCGGACCTGACATGTGGCTGCCCGGCGCCTCTGCCTTCGAAGGCCCGAGTTTCAGTGATAGTGAGCAACCACATCAGTACAGAACTTACAAGCCATTGCCAATGTTCACGGCGTCCTTCATGTAGAGGTGTTGCTTGAATGCTTTTTGGGTCCGTAAATGTCGACGACTTGAGCAGTACTTCGAAACACTGCCCATGCAACGCCGCAGAACTCATGTTGATAGGTTTTTGGAAACGCGTGTCACAGGGAATACTTTCCACGAAGATCATGAAGATCGAACAACTCTTCAGGCATTCGCCTGCATTGAGCCAATGACTTAGTCTTGGTTTCTGATCATCTCAAGCCTTTGGACGATTGCTGCGAGGGAGCCCATGCTATGTCCGTTGTGGCTTCGTTCTTGAACTCTGCGGGTGATCTTGCCAACGCTGGCCGGGATCACCCCGCAGCAGAGATTTCTTGAAGTTTTTGGATATCTAAGACCTCCCAAGTTGCATTCGTGGTTTCCTCTGAATCAAGCTTGCTTGACTGACTCAAAAACACTCAAAAGGGGTCAAACCATCCGACCCTGGTTTGGTCAGCGAGACTTTGCCAGGTGAGCTCGGCGTGCAAGCGCCAGTTGGCTTTTGGGACCCATTGGGGCTCTCCGCGGACGGCGACGCGTGGACTCCCGGTGACAGTTTTAATTTCTGCGCATTACTGTAATCAGCACCGCGCCACCTGGTTTTAGCAAAGTTCTCTTGCCCAGCACTTGCCCAGGTTGACGCCTTCAAGCGCCGTCGCGCTGTGGAGCTGAAGCACGGCCGCATCTGCCACCCGGCGCGCTACGTCCCCCCCCATCGCGGGTATTGCGTAGGTGTTCCTTTCCATGTTTTGTGTTCCTTTCCATGTTTTGCACATTTGCGGAGGAAGTTTGCATCTCACGTCAGGGATGGCTGTTCTGGGCGGAAAGGGATGTTTATGCCACTCCACCTGTTTTTCCTTGAGAGAAGGAGACACTCTTGGAGCAGAGGTGAGAAAACCACTGCGAATCATGTCAAAGCTTGAAACTTGTGCCGCGCTTGGGCGAACAATTGGCTTTCTAGTTGGACCGCCCCGAGCATACTGCCCAGGCATGCTCGCGTGCGCTGCTCGCTTGCAAATAAGGTGGGTGTGTGCTAGACTCGGTAAAACTTTCTCCGTGGCAAGACAACTTTTGTAATTCTGCAGATATGTGTGCTTTGTTTGCTTTTGTTTGACGGAGGGCCTGAGATTTGCATAGCACTGATTCTCGAGCCGAGGTCGGCTACATCGTGCCGGAGTACTTCCGCTGGCCTGGATACCTGTCGCCGGAGAAGGGCCTGAAGTTTGCGGACATGCCCCACGGCATCGCTGCCGTCTCCAAGGTGGGCTGCAAAATGAAACTACCAATCTCACGGCTCCCTTGTTTCTTGGCACACTTCTGTCGCGACTTCATGCGTGCCATTGTAGAGCATGACCCCGTGTCTTCAGAAATGTCCGAATGCCGTTGTGCCAGGTGCCCCTGGAGGGCTGGGTGCAGATCGTGCTGTTCCTGGGCCACATGGAGGGCTACTTCTGGCGCCAGGACCCCAAGCGCGCCCCGGGTGACTACGAAGGCGCCTTGGTCAGCAAGCCAAACTGTAAGGGGTTCTTTTGGAGCAGGCACTAAACCGAAACGGCTATGTGCAGCGGCACATATGGGCAACTGGAAGTGGGCTTGGAAAGTAGCATTGTGCCTACGGTGCCCTGAATGCTCGCCGCTAAACTAAACCCCAAACCCTAAACCCTGCTAAACTTCTTGTTTTGCAGTCATCGATGTGCTGCAGCCCGAGCAACTTTGTTGGTTTGCTGCAACGTTTTTGCAACACGGCGAGTCACTGAGTCGATCCAAACGGTGACCTGCCTCAGGTGTGAGATGCTACAGGTCCCCTGGCAACAGAAATAGGGTCATTCTGTTTAGGTATTTGTCATTCCAGCTTTCAATCCCGCGTCCTTGTCAAACCTGGAAACTCCTCATTTTCCTTGAAGCACACGACCCGCGTGAAAAAAACAATTCCCAGATCGTCCTTCCTTCGCACTGTTTGGTGTGTGTGTGTGTGTGGGTGTGCGTGTGCGTGTGCGTGTATGTGTGTGCATGTGTACGCACGTGTCATGCGCAGGCTACGGCTTCCTGGGTGTCGGCAAAAACTTTATCTTTAACTTCGAGCCCATTGAGTTCAAGGATGCCGAGGCTGAGCACAGCTGTCGGTGTCTTTGGTTTCAGTTTCAGCCTTGGACCCTTCTTGGTTTGACTTCTTTGTCTATTGATGGAAACTAGCTTCAGCATGGTCGCAGAGGTGACCCTGAGGAACACCTTGTAGCTTGTATGCCTTCTTATTGTGTGCGTAGGTGATCCCTGCTGCAACTTGTTAACCGGTTCTCAGATGGATTGGTTCCTGGTTCCTGGTCCAAGCTAGCCCTTGCACTCAAATGAAAGGATGTGCTTGACAGGTGCGCAAGACAAAGCTGCGTGCGGAGATTGCAAACGGGCGTTTGGAAACTTGGTTGCATTGGAGCAGTGGGTGAGGCCAGAGGCCTTGCGCCGTGCTCGGATGTTATTTGCTCAGCTTCGGCTAATAATTTCTGGAGAAAGGGACAGAGATGCTCATGGCGCCTTGTAATGCCAGCGGCAGCTTTCCGGGAAGTTCAGGGGGAAACCTGAAGAGCCTTGTAAGCTCCTTTCAGCTTTCAGGGGCGGATCTGAGGCCATGGTGGCTTTGATGGCCATGCTTTTCCAGAACGGCACCGTGGGCACCACCGGCCCTGCCATGTGGCTGCCTTCCGCATAGGCCCCGAGATGGGCAAGCACTCCGGAATTGTTGGGGTGAGCCAGCTAAGTCAGCTAAGTGCTGGCAAGAGAAGATCCTGACTGCTTTCAGCATTTACAGGAGTCCAACTAGACTTTGCCCATGGATTGCCTTGTTCAACTTTCAATGTTTTTGGACTGCTCGACAGTCTCGGCCACGAAGCCATCGAAAAGACTCGCGTCAGGGTCAGGGGAGTCCAGAAATTATCTCAGAACACGCGCTGCTCGCGGCATTCATCGAGCCTTGGGATGCGATTCTAAGCCCAGGTTCCCAGGTTGGGTACGACCCAAGTCCCGCTTTCACACCCTCGCCTTGACGGAGAGTTGTTTGACCGTTGAATCCCTTGAATCCGCGTATGCAGGCCGTCCAGCTTTCTACAGCTGAGACACGCCGGCGGGTGCCAAAACGGGCGGCTCGCAGGTGTCGGGGTGGGGGTTCTGAGTTGTGTAAAACAATCTGCAGGACAACAACTTGAAGTGGCGTTGTGGTGGTGTCCTGGTGCTTGGTGGGATCTGTGCGCATGGTGTGGTTGGGCTCCTCTGCGGCGAGTTGCACTTTGCGCGGCCCCGGATGCTTTGGCTCAGCCCCAGGCCCAGGCCAGGCAGAATTCATTTTTTTCTATCATTTGCCCGACTTTTTACTACCTGCCATGGCCCGGCGCCCAGAGCATTTGCCTGCCTCTAGGAAAATGCATGTTCATGCGTCGGCTGCGGCGGTCAGCCCAGGGATGTTTATCGTGAGCTGCGCTGAGCCGAGGCCAAGCCGGTGACCCTCGCCGTGGCGGCGGCCGGTGCCTACCTCTGCAGTGAGGCCTTCGTGCCCAGCGCGCAGCTCGTGCAGACGCCGGCTGCTTCGCCTGAAAACCCGTTGGTCTGGGAGGGAACACCGAGCAGGGCCTCAGCCAGGACCCGCGCAAAACATGTCTTGTTCCCGCCAACAGCCATGTAGGTAGAGCGGCAATGATGGGTCGGTAGCATCTTTTGCTTGATAATTTCAGGCACTGACCCAAGCCAATGTTTGCCTTGGCATACAAACTATGTGTTTTCTTTGGCTAACTTCAAAAACAGCGACCTGCGCCGTGCTGCAATGGAAAGGCCACGGCTCGGCTTAGCCAAGGCCTCCGCGGGGCGGCTCCGTGGAGGCGAGGCCAGCAGCAGCAACCGCGGCCTGGCGGTTCCCGCGGCCGCGGCCGCGGCCGTGCTCTTGGCAGGTGCCGCGGCGCCCACGCGCCGGCGACCCGCCGCGGCCCCTGCGCCGCGATTAGCTGTGACGGACTGGGCTGTTGTGGACGTGTGTCTCATATTTTTTCACAACACCATGGCCAGCGCCATGGGGGGGTGGCTTGCAGCTTTCTCGGGCAAACCGAAGGCTTTGCAGAAAACTGCGCACCAAGGATTAATATCACGATGGTTTGTGTCACACTCACTTAATGAATCAGCGGCACCATCATGGACAAACATGCCACAAATCAGCCAGATAGTAGGGCCTGGGTTTCGTCACCCTGTCCAGATCAGTCAAGGGTGATGGTGACTTTTGCCCAGGTGTGCAAGGCCTTCGAGAATGAGCTGGGCGCCACCATGCCCTTCAAGTATTTCGACCCACTCGGCATGGCCAAGGATGGCCCGGGCCCGGCTTTGGGGTCTTATTGGGGAGCTCAGAATGTGTGTTCATTAAAGTTTACTTCAGAAGCCAAGCTATCGATGATGGAGACCAGCAGCGAAGCACCCATTGGATCCGCAAGATCACATTTTGCATGCTGCTAAGCCCGGAGCAGTGCTGGTATTGCTTTGGCGATTCCAGATTCTTGACAATAGAATGCAACTTTGTTGGGTGGACTGACTAGCGGGAATGGCATCCAATCGCTTAAGCAGCAGACAGAGATTTGGTGTGCCTTTGTCAAACTTGTAGTGAAGGACTAGGAAATTTGGGCCGTTGAATTGCGCCCGGATCCTGTCAGGATGGCGACTCCGAGACCTTCCGCCGGCGCCGGATTTCTGAGATCAAGAACGGCATTTTGGCGTCAGGTTGGTTGTATTGGTCGCCAGTTCTGCCCGCAGGTTGGTTGGGATAAGCAATTTGTCACTTCTTCGAGGTAGACTATGATTTCATGTTTTCATTTGAGTCTTGCAACTCAAGCTGTCATGAACTGAGAGCAGTACCTCTTACTTGTTTTGTCGCACTTGGCGCGACAACTGGATAACGACCGTATTTAACATCATTGCCTTACTTGCAAGCACAGCGCTCGCTGTAGTTGAAGAAGGGATGGAGGAAACAATTTGATTCCCCTTTACCTCTGCAGCGCGCGCGACTGATTTGCGTTTCCACTTCGAGACCCCTGTGCAGAATGAGCTTGCCAGCTGACCTTCCCAGGTAGGGTGGCCATGATGGCCTGCATGGGCTACATCGCCCCAGAGTACTTCCGCTGGCCTGGCTACTGCTCGCCTTCGGCAGGAGCGGTGCTGGAATCGAACCCATCAGTTGGATTTGGGCCTTTGCACTATTCTACATCACTCCAGATTTCTTTCCAGTCTTCAAAAACTGTTTCCCATTGGACTTGCACGCATGGAAAGCCTGTGCCGCATTCATGAGCGAACATTGGTTGGCATGTAGTGGCTTTGATTCCGAGCATCCTGTCAGACTTGAAATTTGCGGACATCCCGAACGGCATCCAAGCGCTTTACAAGATGCCTGCAGAGGCATGCGCACATGTTTGTGCAGAGAGGCATACGCCAAGCAAACTTTTCAAGCACTCCATGGATGCTACGCCTTGGCGTCATTCTGGCAAGCGATATGTGTGGAACCTCTTTGTCCATGCTGTTTGTTCATGCGTGTTCCCAGGCTTGGGCACAGATCGGAGTCTTCATCGCCTTCCTAGAGCTCTTCCCCATGAGGCGCGCCAAGCACACGCCAAGCACACGCCATGCCATGCCATGCCTTGACAGGTGAAAGGTGTGAAAGGTGTGAAAGGTTCGCCGAAAAGACTTTGCCCTTTATGACTTTGACCAGAGCGCTTTTGTGGCTTTTCCGTGAACTCTGGGTACAAGATAGCATCTCCCGTGTTTCACGCGGGACAGCAACAGGTTTCTGGCAGATGTTGGCGATTGTGGCTAGCCCGTTTTCCACTCCGCGGATGGATGATATGTTTGGTTTGGCATGTTTGAAAGCAAAAGCGCATGACGGTTTGTCCACCGCCCGGGCTTTCCGCCAGGCAAGAGAAGGATGCCGCGCCGGGTGACGCCCCCAACTTCGGGCGTTTGGGTGTGCCCTTCTTCTCCAGCAAGGCAGTGCCTCAGCTTCAAGGTGAGAAAACGAGGCCTTTGTCTCCTCGGCCACCTTGGCGCTTGTTTCTATTTTTGTGTTTTGGGTTCTGGATCGTTCTCCGCTTGTTTGTGTGAGTTGTCAGCAAGTTTTGCCCTTGGCCGATGTGAGCTGTTCCCCCAAGTAGTGGCGCCACTCAATTGATGATGGCGAAAAAAGAGACCTGGCTTGTCCCTTCAAACTTGCCGACCCTGCTCCAGGGACTGATTTCTCAATCCGGCCAAACGCACTTAAAACTGCAGTCCTGGGCAGATTAGTTGGGATGGGCTCCAAGTTGGCCGTCCAAGGACCCGGAGAAGAATCGCCGATCCTTGGATGCTGAGATCAACAACGGCCGATTGGTCACTTGGCATGGCGGTAGCCGCGGCAGGTAACGTCATGCAGATCAACGACAGGTGACGAGCAGAGTCGGCAGTGGGCAGTGGAGTTTGTTGCCGAGCAGTTTTGTCCAGTGATGTCCAGTGACTTGCTTGATTTGCTGCATGAGCCTTCTGGTCGCTTGCTTCAGGTCTTGTTCGCTACCGGTGGTAGTGATCAGTGATAAGCTCTCCTGAGAAGACCCATCTTACACTTCTTGACAGTTAGTATTATTCCAACAATGTAGCGCAGCTCTTGCCGCGAATGCCTCATGGAGTCTCCAACATGCATCACCTTGAAAAAACAGAGGAGTGTATCGGACAAGCCGTTCCACAGATGCGGGATAGTCTGGCCCACACACAAGCTCCAATATCAGTGTTCCTGGTTGGCCATGCTCTCAGACTCCAAAGACTCCGCAACTCGAGGCCATGGTGGCGATCACTGGCATGATTTCGCAGAACGCCTTCTTCGGCACCACCGGACCTGACATGTGGCTGCCCGGCGCCTCTGCCTTCGAAGGCTCGCCTCGCGCTTTGAGTGGCGCCTGGCATAACCAAACCGGAAGACAATGACCTTTGCTTGGAGTTTCGTTAAGAGTGCTAATTTGATGCACTCTGGATTTTGGATGCTGATGCACTTAGATCAAAAAGGAAAGAATTTGCTTGCGCGGTCCGAGGCCGCGTAATTTGGCTTAGCCTGCGCAAGGGGATCAACGCAGCGCCCAGGAAACAGTTTGCACGGTCCCACGCCTCAAAGTTTCCGTCAGGCGAGCTGGGGGTGCAGGCGCCGGTGGGCTTCTGGGACCCGCTCGGCCTGTCCGCTGATGGTGATGTCGGGGTGCTTGGCGTTGTCATGTGCCAGTCTGCCGCTAGAGTACTGCCATGAGATGCATGAATGGTTGCAAGACACTCTGCTTGAACCGAAGCAAATGAGAGCGCCCGGGGGTCTGCTTGAGGTGGACGCCTTCAAGCGCCGTCGCGCCGTGGAGCTGAAGCACGGCCGCATTTGCCCCTCAGCTTCAGGAGCGACGCCTTTTTGACATGTTCCACTTACCTTTTGTTTTTGACCTTTTCGTCGAACTACACAGAGTGGCATGGACCGTTTCTTGCTGCAATGTTGACAATCTTCCATGGACATCCGCCACTTTGCAGAGTTCACTGCATTTTGTGTCGGCTGTCAACGCTTTTCCCACTCCATGCTCTCATGCGTGACAGAGTTTACTGCTGCTTTAGGAGCAAGCAGCACGATTGATTGAAAGATGACGTTCGATGTCCTAGCGAACTGGACGCGTGAAAGCTAACATTTGGAAGGTCAGAGTCTGGAGAAGACAAGCAGGTTTCTTTGGATCATGCCTTGGGTTCAAGCAGACAGGCCTTCCCTCCTTTGCGTTGATGGCATTTGGATGACAAATATCTCGATGCAGAGTTGTGAAACAGCAAGGTGGACAGCAAACAAACCAGAACGCACATATTCACGCTCGCAAGTAAAGTCATAGAACCATTGTGCACTCTTGCACGCAGCTGTCACAAGGCACTTTGACCAGAGACAGAGAGAGAGAGAGAGAGAGCGAGGGACCGATTTTTGGGCGCTCAGCAGCACAGCCTCTTGAGGTATGCTCGCTTGCGTGCCTTGGCGGAGTTTACACACGTCGTTTTCGTGGATCTGATGTTGCTGAAATCCCGTCGGGCACCAGTACTTTCTATGCAAAGCTGGCTGTCTGGAGTTTAGACGTTGTGCAAGTAGCAAATACGCAATTGTTATCGTTTGCCTTCCCGCAGTTTCTTCACCGGCCTACATGTACTTGCAGCACAACATGTTTTTTACTTCCCTTGCTGCGCCGGCCGGCTGAGGTCGGCTACATCGTGCCGGAGTACTTCCGCTGGCCTGGATACCTGTCGCCGGAGAAGGGCCTGAAGTTCGCGGACATGCCCCACGGCATCGCTGCCGTCTCCAAGGTGGGCTGCAAAATGAAACTACCAAGCTCACGGCTGCCTTGTTTCTTGACACACTTCTGTCGCGACTTCATGCGTGCCATTGTAGAGCATCACCCCGTGTCTTCAGAGATGTCCGAATGCCGTTGTGCCAGGTGCCCCTGGAGGGCTGGGTGCAGATCGTGTTGTTCCTGGGCCACATGGAGGGCTACTTCTGGCGCCAGGACCCCAAGCGCGCCCCGGGTGACTACGAAGGCGAGCAGTTGAAGGGATGCGTTTGCCGAAGCATCAGGATACCCAAGTGGACAAGTGGAAGGATTGTTGAGCTGTTGGTTTGAGATGTGGTTGTTGGGAAAGGATCCAGGCGAGAGACGCATTCCTTGAAGCACATTCCCCGGATTCGACGCATGCGCAGGCTACGGCTTCCTGGGCGTGGGCAGGAACTTCATCTTTAATTTCGAACCTATTGAGTTCAAGGACGCCGAGGCGCAAGCTGAAGCGGCCGCAGCCAGGAGTCAGGGGAGACTGTGCAGAGCTCCCAAAACGACAGGCGACCGATTTGAGGCTTTCACAAACGGTGGCTACTGCGACCCTCAAGTTCTGCCAAGGTTTGCATCCGCTTTTGGGTCAACATCCAGCGTTAAGTGGGCACGGCTGTATGTGTTAAGGTGAAGCAAGGATTCGTAAGAAAGACAGGTTGCATGTGTTGCGTGGAGGTTTCGAGGATGAATATTATATGAGTATCAAAGGTCTACAAAGTACCTTGAACCCGTTTCATGGATTTGTATTGGAGAGCAATTCTTGCAGGTCAAGAAGACGAAGCTCCGTGCAGAGATTGCCAACGGCCGTTTGGCGCGTGCCCCAGAAATCAGTGTGCCTCCACTGAGTGGCAATCAATTCTGGCGATGGGACCCTTGGTGGCTCAATGAGAACAGTTCATATCGGAGTTATTTTGTGAAGTGAGTCATTGAGGGCTTCAAAGGGCATCTATGGACCATGGCAATCGCAGTCTACCTCACGGAGACGTGACTGTTTGGGCTGAGGGCACAGAGCCAAGTGGGGCTGCCTGATGGGGCAAGTTGTTTTCTGCGGCGGGCTCAAGCGCACAAGGCGTAGGTCTAGGGCATTGAAAGGACCAGATACTTGAAGCCATGGCGGACTCAAAAGTGAAGGACAGGGTTTGGGGGCATTGTGATCAATGGATTGCCGAGAGAGAACTTTGAATATATATATATATATATGTATAAACGAGGCACACGGAGTAGACTTGATGCTTTCAACTAGAAGAGAGGAAAGGTAGGCCCTGGGGGAGGGGGGGCGGTGACCACACATATATATATATATACATATATATATATATATATATGGCTCGCGGATGGTTTCGGACCCGCGCATTTTGAAAGGTTTTATATGTATATATGTGTTTCAATTCTACTGGGACATGTTTCTGAATATTACTCGAAACCATCCGCTAGTCCTGTTACCCATGGTCTCACTGGAGGGGGGGGGGGGGGGCTGGCTTCAGGCAGTGCGAGCGGGCGAGGGGGGGGGGGGGAAAATTCAAGCAGTCCTGGTGGCAACTTTAAATGAGGGTGTCAACCCCCCCCCCCCCCTTCACCCAGGACTGCTTGAAGTTTGCCCCCCCCCCCCACCCAAGATCTGGGATCTGGCTTAATTGTCAGGAATGATAGGAAAGCTCATGCAAACATTCAAAGAAGCCTTGCATTTCGGGTATTACATTCAATGTTTCCAAGAACTTGCATGTGTAAGTTCAGCCTTTGTTTGCAAACTCAGATTCCGTTTGCAAACTCAACTTCTGTTTGCAAATTCAACTTCTGTTTGCAAACTCAGCTTCAGTTTGCAAACTCAACTTCAGTTTGCAAACTCAACTTCCGTTTGCAAACTCAGCTTCTGTTGGCAAAGTCTAGCTTTCTTACGTTCGTGGTGCTCACAGGCATGCACAGGGTTGTCCTGAACTATGCTGTGTTTGTATGCATGATGCTCACTATAGGCTTATCGGATAAGCTTGAAATAAGCTCTTTCTTGGATAGGCAATGCCGCCATCGAAAAGGATGAAGCTTGAGGTGGAAGCTTACATTAATGACAAGAAGCACATCACCTTTGAGCTGGTGGGCGCATGTCCGCAAGGTGGTCACGAAGCCCAAGAGTGCATTGCAGAAGAAGCCTTCCATGAAAAGACCTGCCTCATGCACCAGCACCATGAAGAAGCCTTCCTCTTTATTCAAGCGGCCCGCCTCCGGCCAGAAGTTCTCGCCCAAGAAGCAAAAGAAGACGCCCCAGGCCATGTCCTTCTACAGCAAGTACAAGTACGTCGTTGAAGTCGATGAATCTCATATCAATCAACATCGCAATGGCTCTTTGGCAAAGAGCGCCCGTGTCCAAACAGATCAAGTATGGATATGGGGAGCCACAATGCCCGGGATTGCTGACCGCTTCGTCTTCCGGGTGCTGGAACATCCAGCAGACGCACAGGACGGAAAACCAAGAGGGCGCTTCGAAATCCTCCAGTGCTCCAGTTACGCCCTAAGACGATCCTTACAGACGGCTGGAAGGCTACACTGAGCGCGGTGAATGCCCTCAAGGAGGAGAATGGTTGGTCTGACGCAGAGCTCTGGCACGAAGTTGTGAACCACGCCGCCGGTGAAATCACCAACGTGAACGGCTTCACGACCAACCACATTGCAAACCGCTGGAGTCTCCTCAAGCGGTGGGCGCGGAAAAAATCAGGTGGCCGACTCCCGTCTCACAGCGACCGATCGAAGTGGCGCCAACTCCTGGCTGAATTTCGATGGCGGAAGTTCCATGCAGATTCCACCAATCGCAATGTGTACATAGTGCCTGTGCACAAAACAGTCGCTGCCATGCGACGTCTGTTCCAATCATAGCTCCCAGCTCCTGATTCACAAAGGCACACACCGAAAAGAGGCGTCTCGTCTTCAAGTTGGCTCCTTTGCAAGCCATCCGTGCTCATGTCCTGTCTTATTATGAGTCTCGAGAAGGTCTTCAAGTAAATAGGGCGCACTATCTACACATACGAAATCATGCAAAATGCGCGGGTCCGAAACCATCGCGGAACCATATATATATATATATATGTATATATATACATAGGATAGGCAGAACTGGTGCAGTGCAGCACAAGCCCAGCTGAGCCCACCCAATTTGCGGCGTTGCGCTTTACTTAAGCTGCATTTTGTATGCGGCAATCGTCGAGTTTCCTGCGATTCTGCGCGCAGCTTTGAAGTTGCGAGTGGCATAGTCAAATACTGAAATAGGCCATTTAGGTGGTCATTTAGCGAGGGGTCAGGTCATTTAGGATACGCAGCAATAGACAAGTAGTTGGTCATAGTGCAACTGCGCAGCCAAGTGTTGTTTTCGCAGGGGTGCGAGAGTGTTATGCAGATTTGCATTTGGCAAATTGTCTCCATGGAAAGTGCACAGCGTAAACCAGGTAAATTATTTTCATTGGGCGAGTTGTAGCCGATTTTCCATTTGGCTTTTTGGTGGAGGTTTCCATTGGACACGTGTCACTGAGTCCGTTCTGATTCCAGGACATGGGGCTCGCGGAGTTCGGCCGCAAGGAGCTGACGTTGGCAGAGCACGAGATGCCGGGGCTGATGGCCGCCAGGAAGGAGTATGGCCCTGGTCAGCCCTTCAAGGGCCTGCGGCTCGGTTTCAGGGTCGGTGTGCTTGGTGTGCTCGGTGTGCTCGGTGTGCTCGGTGTGCTCGGTGTGCTCGGTGTGCTCGGTGTGCTCGGTGTGCTCGGTGTGCTCCATGGTTCTTGGTTAGTGTCACGTGTTTCCATTGCTTTCTTCCGTGGAGTGACATAGAGATATCGGACCGCGTATCGGGCGAACAGGGTGATATCGGGGGACAAGGCAGCATGCGTATGCTGCAACCATCCCACTAACTTCCGCGACCGCAGGTTGCTCAAACACCAAACTAGATACCCCTCTACTTCATACTGTTGAGTTGTTTGCAACCTTGTTTACTTGGCTGAATACCTTGAAGTTTGCTGTCCCTCATGCACCTCGCCTGTGGCTAGCATTAGTGGTTTTCTTAATTTGCTGATGTGTTGGATGATGCCATAGCTTCATGCTTGGAATTTGGATGTTGCTTGTTGCTTGCCACTGTCCGTAATTCGTGTTGTTTTCTTTTCGCCGCATATTGAGTGCAATCCTTCACATGTACCTTTAATGATGGCAAGACCCATCGCTGCTGTGAGAAGAACGGTTTGCAGGGTTTAGACAGCTCGATTTGGGACGCTAACAGGGGAGCCGCACTGAGAGGCAGGGCCAACGCCTTTCAAGGTTTGATGCCGAGGAACATCAATGGTTCCTTGCACATGACCATCCAGACCGGTGTTCTCATTGAGACCCTGGCGGCACTGGGGGCGAAGGTGCGCTGGTGCTCCTGCAACATCTTCAGTACGCAGGACGGGCAACCATGCGAACGTGTCCAGTCATCAAGCTGATGCGCATCGCACTGTTTGCCAGGGTGTCGTTGACAATGCGGCACTTGACCACTGATGGATACAAGGGACGGGCCACCAAATGCAACCAGCACAGTCGCAGACCTGGAGGAAGCGAGCCCAGTTGCTTTCGCAAAGCCCTTTGTCATGATTCACGGATAGTTCTCCTTCGTGGATGCGACTCATGTTGCTTGTGGAGGATTCAAGGCTGCGCATTGCTTAGGATAAGTAGACCCCGCCAGCCTGGCTCAGTCCGATTGCAGCAGAATGGTATGGCGCCCCTCAATGCCTTGAGAACTGACATGGCAGCAATGCCGATCCTTCTGAATTTGAGGTGTCCCGGTCAAAGTCCCAAGCCCCCATTCCACAGGCTTGCAGCAACATGACCGCATATTTTGACAAACTTCGCAATTTTGGCAGTGTTCCTGCATGCAAGGACCACGCTGCTGCCGCTATCGCCAAGGCAGGCACTTCAACGGTCTTTGCCTGGAAGGGCGAGACGCTGCCAGAGTAGCTCGGGCGAGGGAAAGCTTCAGCCAGTCTCACACTTCAACAGCACAGGGTGCATCGATGGGCAAAAGAGGGTCCCACCTTTGGGGTACAGGTGATCCGAACTTGCTTGTTCCGTTTTGATTCGAGGTACTGGTGGTGCACGGAACAGATGATGACGGTCCCCGGCGCCGATGGTTGCGATCAGCTGGTGGACGATGGTGGAGATGCTACTTTGCTCATGCACAAGGGGAAGGAGTTCGAGGAGAAGTACGCAAAGGATGGCAGCCTGCCAGACCCAGCTAGCACCACCAACGCAGAGTATAAGTGCATCCTGCAGCTGCTGAAGGACTCCATCCCGGTGGACAAGACCAAGTATACCCGCATGGCCGCCAAGTGCAAGGGCGTGAGCGAGGAGACCACCACTGGGGTGCACCGCTTGCGCGAAATGGCCGCCAAGGGTGAGCTGCTCTTCCCGGCCATCAACGTGAACGACTGTGTGACAAAATCGAAATTTGACAACGTGTATGGCTGCCGCCACTCCCTGCCGGACAGCATCATGCGCGCCACCGACGTGATGATCGGCGGCAAGCGGGCGCTGGTGGCGGGCTACGGAGACGTGGGCAAGGGCTGTGCCTTCGCCATGCGTGGCGCAGGTGCACGGGTGCTTATCACCGAGATCGACCCCATTTGTGCCCTGCAGGCCCGGCAGAAGAAAGACTCCGGAGATCGCAGGTGACATGTAGGGGGTCGCAGGGTTCATAACCGCTTCAAGACTTGAGTGACCTGGCAGGCCTGCATGGAGGGCTTCCAGGTGGTCACCATCGAGGAATCGGTTAGCGAGGTTGACATTTTCACCTCCGCCACTGGAAACTTTAAGATCATGACCCTGGACCACATGAAGAAGATGAAGAGCCTCGGCAGTCTCGGTGTCAGTTCTGCTTACTGTATATTGATATTTTGGGTCAGGACTCAACCGTAAGCCGCCAGGAACAACGCCATCGTCTGCAACATTGGGCACTTTGACAATGAAATTGCCACTCGGCCGTGAACATCTGCAGAATCCCGCTGGAAATTCGGAAGGCATGATGTCGGGCGGTCGTCTCTATTCGACATCTGTCTGCCAAGTGACGTTGTGGACACTGGTGGCTGCGCATCCTTGTGGTGTCCTTCCATTGCACGTGGTTTGGCCGGTTGAGCAGTGACCATCGAACTCTGATTGCGATCCCCCAGATTCAATCAAACTATTTACCCTTGCCCCAGCCCATTCGACCAATTCACCACTGCTATCTCTGGACACGCCAAAGGGGTATCATTCTGTTCTTGTCAATGTTCAGCAGATGCTTGAAGAGGGGCGGGCAGATGTGCTGGCTCCAACAGTCAAGGCCATGGAGGACCTTGAGAACATGCCGGGCATCAAGGCGGGGCGCGGGAGCTCTCCCTCTTCCCAAACAAAACAAGCCATGGAACGACGGGAGGACGCCTCCCTCTTCAGGGGCTGGGACCACAAAGGGAGCCCTTTGCCATGTCCCAGACAAGCCTGCACCGTTTGGCTAAGAAGGGATGACCTCACAGCCCTGGCAAGGTGGAAAACATCAAGCCGCAGGTGGACCGCTTTGTCTTCCCTGATGGCCATGGAGTCATTGCAGCTGGGCGCGAAAGAAAGGGGCCGGCTTGTTTTCTATTGTCAGCCACTAGCGTCATGGCCTTTGAAGGTTAGGGAGCTCCGCTCCGCCGGAATGTCGCGAGTGGATTCAGAAGAGTTGATCCAAGATGGCAATTGAGTCAATTGAGAAGGCTGTGACTCGGTGACACGCGTTGCCAAGACATTGCCAAGGTCCTGGCCTCTGGGCGTTTGGTGAATTTGGGCTGCGCCACGGGCCACCCCAGCTTCGTGATGAGCTGCTCCTTCACCAACCAGGCTCGCGCCAGGGAGAAGCAGCATATTGTATATACATATATACATATGCACAAAAGCAGGTACAGAAACACACAGTCCTGGGGAATGCAGGGAAATCGCATGAATTCTTGGCACCTCTCACCAGCATGATTCATTCCCTCAGAGTTTGAAGCGGCATCCTCCATCATGCTTTGACCGCTGAGGTGCTGGCACAGCTGGATATCTACGAAAACTGCACCAAGGCCAAGAACTACAAGATCCTGGGCTATTTCCTGTGATATCACTTGGTTGCTCTATTGCCAACCCCGCACTCAGTGATTCTCCATGGTTTGCGTGGTTGTTGCCAACTGCGCTTACTCATGTGTAGGATTTGATTGAATGCTTGTGTGGAACTTCAGAAACGTCTAAGGAATGATGTGTACCTGCTGCCCAAGAAGCTGGACGAAAAGGTGGCGGCGCTTCACCTGCCAGCACTGGGGGCGCACCTCACCAAGCTGAGCAAGGAGCAGGCTGAATACATCGGCGTCACGCCCGAAGGGCCCTTCAAGCAGGACACCTACCGCTACTAGGCGCCCTCTTTGCTTTCTTGATTTCCGCTCGCTTAGCTTTGGTGCTTGCAAGCCTAAATCGATTTGTGGAGGGTGGGCTGAGGTGTGAGAGATCGGAAGTCCGTTATGTCTGGTTTAGTCCGCATATGTAAAATGTGTAGGGTGTGATTCAAAGCCCTTGCAATTTCCATTTGTAAGGCGGTTAGCTCTAGACGTACTATAGTTGACCTGTTTAAGTGTGGGTGGGTTTATTTGCGGACGCTTTATGCATTTCCGCGTCCCTCCTGTAGTCTTTGTGGTCGTCAGAAGCCATGTGCTTGCAGGCGTCCACCAGCACGTTTTGATGCGCAGCCGTTGGGCAGCAATTCTCTTTCAGCAGCCTTTGGCGGCATGCAACGCACGGATCCCAAGGGCTATTTAAGCTGAAATTCGAGAGGCTTAGGCCGATCATGCAGGCGTCGGACGCAGTCATCAGCGGCTGCCTCACAGCTTGCACCACAGAAAAGGAGAGCAAGGGCGAGCGCGCTTGCGGCATGTGGCGCGAGAAAAGATGGAACTCTCACGTGGCCTTAAGGGGACACAGTTGCTTGACCGGGCAATGCTGTGATATACTTTGTGTTCCTGCCCTAATTGTGTTTGCACACAACTTGCTGGCAAGTGAAGCGGTTGAAACGCCGGCCCTGTGTACACAGGCACCCAAAGTCCGCTATCACCAACTTGTTCAATCTGCCAATCTTTAGCGCACCACATTGACTCACACGTTCCAAAGCTTTGATTGAACCGTGCACCCATCGACACTGAAACCTTGATTAGCTTGTATTGATTTCCACAACGCACGCCGGTGAGGTGGCTTCGCGCCATTTTCCGCGGCTTTGCGCCGAGGCCATGGTGGCTCTGATGGCCATGCTCTTCCAGAACGGCACCGTGGGCACCACCGGCCCTGCCATGTGGCTGCCCTCCGCCTGAGGCGCGATCTCTGCCGAGTGCGTATGCCATTCATGCCAAGCTTTGAAAAACCCCCGAAGATTCCTGCTATCCCCGCATTGCAGAGCCTGATTTTGTTTTGTTCCATGCAGATTCCTTTTGGACCGCTGAGGATCTTTGCTGAGACGAATTCCTGGGAACCAGAAGTGCATTTGACTGGCCGGGCACAATCAGTCACAAAGGTAGACATTCATTCCTCCCGAAATCATGAAATCACGTGTGTGTTTGGACAGGGGCCATAACTGTGCGATTTGCATGGGCAACAAATGAAGTCTCGCGATGCGATAAGACTTCGATCGCCATTGTGGAGGATACTCCGCAAAGTTCTTGCATGCCAGGTACCTTCTGTGAAGTGAGACGCAGAGTGCTGTGCCAATCGGAATTGAATCGTAGCACTAGAGCCTTGGCGTCCTGCACCAGAGGTTGCAAGCCTCTCGGGCAAAAGAGACTTGCGCTGTCAAGATCATTGCAGCGGTCGGTAATTATTCACGACATATGAAACACGTCACTCTGGGATGGATGTCCAAGTTTCAGGTTTGTACACCTGGCCGATCACGTGGCAACTTTTTTTACAGCCTTCATGAGCCTTCATGCCTTGCATCTCCATGAAGAGCTATGTACACTTTGAATGGTTGTGTCTTACAGAATCTGCTCAACTTGTCATCGCGGGACCCGACGCCGAAGGAGGCTCAGAGGTGCCTATTGGAGGTGGCTAGAGATTGCGACCATGGCTTGGGCCCTAGCTGGCAACGCGCAGAACCTTTGATAGGTATTTCGTTGCAGGGCGAGCCTGGAATAGCCTTGGAGAGCATCGTGCAATGGTGCGGAGTTTCATCGTGGAATGTTTCTTGAAGACCCAAACCAGGGCCATCCGTCCACTGTCCGGGGTCCAAGGCTGACGGCTGCAAAGCTGCCAGCTTTTCGGAGGATCCAAAGCTTGCTCCGAGAATCATTGCACCTGCGGGGTTTGCCCGAATCCGCTTGCATGTTGATTTCAGCAAGTTAAGATACGCCTGAAATCGAGTTGAAGGATATGCCTGATAGTCACTGATAGATAGCATGTCCTTTCCCCGCACTGATGGATTCCGATCCCAGGCCAAGCCCCTGACCCTCATGGCGGCGGCTGCCGCCGGCACCTACCTCTGCAGTGAGGCTTTTGTGCCCGGTGCGCAGCTGGTCCAGACGCCGCAGGAGCGGCGAAGTTGGAGAGAGAAGTCAGTGGGTGGGCAATTGAGGCAATTGAGGCAATTGAGGCAATTGAGGCAATTGAGGCGATTGGCTGCCTTTGCCGGCAAAAAGGAACAGTTGGTGAATTCTTTGGCATGGAGCAACCAATCATTGTCGCTAGTTTCCAAGGCTGACATGGTTTGGAAGCCACCATAGCCACCAAACAAGCAAACGAGAGCTTCTCTCCAGCAGCATGGCAAGGCTGTTGGCACAAGCTCAAACCGAGCAATGCGAAAGGTGCGCACCTCCCACCTCCGCGCCGGCCCCAGCGGCAGCGGCTCCAGTGCCGTCAGCGGCCTTGCGGCGGGCGCCGCCCTGTGCGTGGCAGCCGCGGGCGCCGCGCGCAGCCGCAAGACGGGCACCGCGCCTCGGCGATTTGTTTGGGGATAAGGGGCTGGAGCAAGAAGCGTTGGCCGCCACTGGAATCACTCACTCGAATTGGCTGACACTTGGAAGATCGGGCCCTGCAAGAGGACTTGGGACTTGGGATGCTGCTGGCCACAATGCTTTCCTGGGTCAAAGGTGTGCAAGTCCTTCGAGAATGAGCTCGGTGCTACCTTGCCCTTCAAGTACTTCGACCCCCTGGGCATGGCAAAGGCATGCCGTGTCGGTCTGTTGAGTTCGTGGGTAAAAACTATGTCGATCTCCCCACACTTTCCCACGAGGTCTTGGACACGATGGGTGATATTCACATCAACAATTGCCCTGCCCTGATTGCCACCAGGATGGTGACGAGGCTACTTTCCGCCGCCGCCGCATCTCTGAGATCAAGAACGGCAACCCGGCAGGTTTTGTAGCGCGGAACTCGCTGCAGGAATCCTGCGGTTCGGGGTTCAGTTCTCCAAGAGTGTCCCCCTTTGCTTTGACACAGTGTAAAGACTGCGATTCGATAGCTTCAACGAGATGGTCAATGTCTTGAATCAGAATTCAGTCATCCTACCTCCGTCAGGTAGGGTGGCCATGATTGCTTGCATGGGCTACATTGCGCCTGAGTACTTCCGCTGGCCGGGCTATTGCTCGCCTTCTACAGGCGCGTGCTGGAATCTGGCTCCAGTCCGAATCTAGCCTCATAGCAGATCAATCCAACTTCGGCAAAATATGCTTTTTGTGGATGCCAGCAATAAGCCGAGGCTTAAGATCACAACTTCTAAAACATGCTTTTCCATTTTGTTTGCTTGCTTCCTTGTGCCCTTTGTGGGTCAAAGTTCTAGTGAGTCCCGACCACACAATTTCAGCTAGTTGGTTGTTTTCGTTGCGCGAAGCCCTTGCCAGCAAGCGCATGCATACATCATATTAATGGCGCCCAGTGAATTGAAGTGGGTGCGCCAGGTGCTTTCTAGCATCGTTTAGTCATGTTCCATATGTTTTTTTCCGGAACATTTGGTCGCCAGCGCAAACAAAAAACAGCGAGAGTCCAGTGCCGCCGCCCATGAAAATGCGCCTGTGATTTTGGAGATGCGAGTTTGGTGGTTGTTGCTATGCCGCCATGCCAGATCTGAAGTTTGCCGACATCCCCAACGGCATCCAGGCATTGTACAAGATGCCGGCGGAGGCTGATGGTTCCAAACTCGCGGATTTTCTTTTTCGAAGCCTGATCTCGCTTAGGTACCGTACACGCTTCCCCTCAGGTGTGTAATTATGAGCAGGACGTTTGGCACCCACGATCCGGCCGACGCAGGCCTGGGCCCAGATTGGCGTGTTCATCGCCTTCTTGGAACTCTTCCCTATGAGGCTGGATGTCACCTTGCTCAAGACACATGTGATTTGTCTTTGTTTGGCGCGAGCCCTGCGAGGCAGGAGAAGGATGCCCTGCCGGGTGACGCTCCCAACTTTGGGCGCCTGGGAGTGCCCTTCTTCTCCAGCAAGGCGGCATCTCGGCAGCTCGATACATGTTCCAGCATGAGATCGACAAGATTAAGCACTGATATCTCATGGAACGGGGGGGCTGCTCTGACTACCAGCTGGGTAGAAGCCTTGAGCCAACTGGGTATATGTGGTGAGACAGCTGCCGGGTGGTACGAGGCTTGGTTGCTAAGGATCCCGAGAAGAACCGTCGAGGTCTCGAGGCGGAGATCAACAACGGACGATTGGCGCCTTGGATCGCGACAATGCATTGAGATCCGTCGACAGCGGATAGCGAGCGCGTGCAAATTGCATGTCCTGCTTCATGGCCAGCATGCAGCGATCGCACAAGTCTGAGATTGGCGACCTTTGTGACCTTTGTCCCTTTGCTACACGTCTGAGATTGGTGCAGTTCGGTTTTGGCGTAAATCCTTTGAGGCCATGGTGGCGATCACTGGCATGATTTCGCAGAACGCCTTCTTCGGCACCACTGGACCTGACATGTGGCTGCCCGGCGCCTCTGCCTTCGAAGGCAGGATCCGAACTGGCAGAACCTGCTCTTTTGTGCTTGATGTGGTTTGAATGCTGCATCATTTGAGGGAGGACATTGTTGCAAGGGCTACACCGCTACGCATGTCTGATTTCTCTTAAGGTAATCTGTGGAATATATTGGACAGTTGGACATGCTTTTCCTTCGGACAGGTTTGCATCGAGTTTTCAGGAGTCTTGTTCCGGTCAGGCGAGCTGGGTGTGCAAGCGCCGGTGGGCTTCTGGGACCCGCTCGGCCTGTCCGCTGATGGTGATGTGGGGGCGCCTGGAGTTTGTTTGCCGCAAGTAAGCGGTCAGTTCAAGAAGTGACGGGCAGTGTGCTTTCCGGGGACCCGTCCTCACGAAGGATGCGGCTTTGCAATTCCATTTTTTGTCAACGGATGGCAATTCGCCCTTGAGGTGGACGCCTTCAAGCGCCGCCGCGCCGTGGAGCTGAAGCACGGCCGCATTTGCAGCTCGGAAACTGGTGCGAGGGGATGTCTTGAAATTGAGGAGATGCGCATATTTGCGGCCAACCAAAGAGTTTTCCCTCCAAGAACTGGAAGACGAGCCAGGACACGTGGGTCGTTTCCGACCAATTTCCCAAAAGAACGCTTGTCTTGCAGACGGGCGGTGTGAATGCCTACAAGCTGGATCAACCAACTGGCTCAAATGCTCAAGGAACAAACTAATCAAGACAAGGAGGATGATTGCAGCATGTTGTCTATTGTTGGGCCTTGCTCTCCTTCTTAAAATCCTGCTTCATGATTGATTGAAATATCGTCAGACAGTGCCTTGTTTTGGCAGTGACTGCGCATTGTTTTTTTGGAGTAGCTGCTGAGAATAGCTGGAAGCGCGGCAGTTCGAAGGCAATCTTCCAAAACTAGTTTGCACACGCTTTTTTGAGGCTGGCGAAAGGGAACGTGAAAGAGCATAGTCATGGCCTCTTACACAAGGGCTTTGATCGCATGCATGTTGCACACATGCGCTAGTTGTGGCGCAGTTGCATCTAAGGCATGCTGGCCTGCGTGCCCTGCTTGCAGATGGCCTTCTGCGAAGTTCTGGGGGACTGCAGAGGGATCAAAACGGCGGGTTTAAAGCAATGCACCCGGGCACGTTTAGTCAAGACCGCGGCAAGCCTAGGGCATTGACATGATTGCAAGCATGGGCATGGTTCCAGTTGTCAAGTTTGTACCGAGCCTTCCATCGTTTTGGATAGTTCCGATAAACATGGTGAGATTGCACAGGCTTTTGCTTTTCACCACGCTGTTTTGATTGGCTCAGGTTGGCTACATCGTGCCGGAGTACTTCCGCTGGCCTGGGTACCTTTCTCCGGAGAAGGGCCTGAAGTTCGCAGACATGCCCCACGGTATCGCCGCGGTCTCCAAGGCAAGAATCGTTTGTGGGAACCTGGCCAGAGAGGCTTTGTTTTGAGTGGAGGTCGTTGTTGTGGGTACGCTTGCAACCGTCAGAACTCTTAGTGGGGTGGCTGGCTACTCGATATAGTTTTACCTGCCGTTCAGGTGCCCCTGGAGGGCTGGGTGCAGATCGTGCTGTTCCTGGGCCACATGGAGGGCTACTTCTGGCGCCAGGACCCCAAGCGCGCCCCGGGTGACTACGAAGGCGAGCAGTTGAAGGGATGCGTTTGCCGAAGCATCAGGATACCCAAGTGGACAAGTGGAAGGATTGTTGAGCTGTTGGTTTGTCGAGATGTGGTTGTTGGGAATTCCTTGAAGCACATTCTCCGGATTCGACGCATGCGCAGGCTACGGCTTCCTGGGCGTGGGCAGGAACTTCATCTTTAATTTCGAACCTATTGAGTTCAAGGACCCCGAGGCGTGTGGCACCAGAACAGCCAGACATGGGCTTCAGCACAGGTTGGTTGTATACAGCAGGCCACTCGTAGAGAATTTGCTTGCAGATCAGTTGCATCCCGGTCACTATTAAATAATGAATCCTGCGAAGAGACAGAGAGAGGGATAGAGAGGGGTAGAGCGACAGCAAGATGAGGCAGAATGCAAAGCATGCTGACCCCTTAGATTTAAACTGCCTTCGACTATGTAACATCATTGCCTTGATTAGCCACAATATCTCCAGCTGAGCCTTCGTCATGGGCGAAGGTGAAAAAGACCAAGCTGCGGGCCGAGATTGCGAACGGCCGCCTTGCCGCTGGCCAGCCATGAGAACAGCAGCCACACTAACTTCAGATGCCCAGCAAAGATCCCACCTGACAGAACAGGCAGGCACCTGGGAAGCAGTGCCCGTTTGGGGTATTCTAAAAGGAAAAGCAATACGTGTTTTGGGGGGTTCCCCTATTTCGACACAAACCCATGTATAGCAGTTCGAATCCGTAGCGCTTCGCACTGAGGCCATGGTGGCTCTGATGGCCATGCTCTTCCAGAACGGCACCGTGGGCACCACTGGCCCTGCCATGTGGCTGCCCTCTGCCTAGGCTTGATGGTGGAGAGAGGTGGAGAGAATAGAATGAGCACGCCTGAGCTGATCCATGCGACCCATCAGAGTATTGTGATACTCTTCTCCTCTCACGTGGTCCTTGAGAACCGACGAATGAGTTTTTGCATGCTGTCTGATTTCGTGACATGGCATATGGCAAGCGGCAGATGGCAGTTGTTTGGTTTTTCTGCGCCAGTCACCAAAAGAAGCTGAGCCTTGAGCTGCAAATCCATAGCTTGGAGTTGAATTGTTCGGCAGGTGAGCAGGCCTGGTGCTGCTGCCTTCGCCGCCAGAGCTGTTCACGCTCCGGGGAAAACGGCTGCAGCGCGTATGAGTCGATTTGCAAGCAGGGTTCGCAACCACAACTCACGAAGTGAAATATGTGTGGATTCTATGCTCATCTACAAGATGCACGAACACGCAAAAGCCGTGTGTGGAGGTAATGTTCAGCCATTCGCAAGCGTCATCGCTAGGCAAGACGTCATTTTGGCTGCCGTGCAATTACTTTGCGCGCTTGAACTTGGAACCTCACTTGCCTGGCTAGTTGCCTTTGCG